CCAGCGCATGTCTTCAAAATCCTGCGCAGCTAGATCCGAGAACTTCGCCTCGAGATATCATTGGCAGATGTGGCGATGAACGGTTGCATGTACCTTCGCATTCGGATCCATGTTTGAGAGAGTGGATCGAGGATTCCAGGACTTTGCCCATGTACACTGTTGTTGTATCGCCTCTCGTCGCATTTGAGTGCAACGGCCGCGAGATCCAGACTTGCTTCAGGGCATTTGCGATCGCCCAGCGGACCAAGATAGACCTTTACCTCCCCGCCCGGCAATTTTAGAAACAAGTGAAACGCTGTCTTGATTCCCGAGAGACCGAGGAGTTCGAACATCAGTTACTGCCGGCTGCAGGCGGCATGCGGGGACCTAGCTATGGTGCAATTCCTGCTCGCGAGGTGCTGCGGTGGATTCGGGCAACGCGCTTGTTGAAATATTCTATAGGCTTACGCCACATCCGCCGACCCCTTGTTTTTCTTGTGGAGGAGGAGGAGAAGAAGGAGGAGGAGGAGGAGGCGAGGCGGGGAGGGTGAGGCGGAGTGGAGGACGCGAAATCGATAATTGAAGGTGGGGTCGGGGGCCTCTTGGGAGCTCCGGGAGCGGAGATGGTTCGAGGAGCGGGGAGGGGCGACGAGGAGGTGGATATCACGGCTGGGGCCGTGAGATCTTCCCAGATCTCATCGCCCTCGCACCTTTTGCTGTCTTTACCGTTCCCCTAGCCCCTTCTCGGCCGCGCACGCGCCTCGGGCCCTGATCTGCGAACTCTCCTCTTGGACGCTCCCCTCCTGGAACAGACCTGAGTCGGCGCGGCCGCGGCGACGGCCGAGCCCGGCCGACGACGACGACGACGACGACGACGACGACGACGACGACGACGACGACGGACGACGGACGACGGACGACGGACGGACGACGACGACGACGACGACGACGACGACGACGACGACGACGACGACGACGACGACGACGACGACGACGACGACGACGACGACGACGACGACGACGACGACGACGACGACGGACGACGACGGACGACGACGACGGCGGCGGCGGCGGCGACGGACGACGACGGCGGCGGCCGAGCCGAGCCGAGCCGAGCCGCGTGCGCGCGCGCGGCCCTGCCGCTTCAGAGGCCCGAGCCAGGGCGGCGCGCGAAGCTGTGCGGGGCGGGCGGCAGCGGCCGCGGCATGGGGGCCGGCGCCGCGCGCCGCGCGCGCGCGCGCCTCGTCTCGGCCGCCGCTGTCGCTCACGTCGCCGCCGCCGGGATGGATTCGGAGTCGATTTCGGCCGATCTCCGACGTCTCGAACAAATCGAGACAGAGGTTTTTGGCAGTTTGCGGGCGCTGGGGGCCCTCAACGGGCCCCGGGGCCGACAAAAAACTACCCGGGATGAAAAGACGGTCCCCGGGAAGTGGTCGAGGGGTCCAGGGGCCGCGCATTGAAAACGTCAAGACGTCGGACGTCTGGGTCTGCCACGGAGTGCACGGTTCCCAGACCTCCGATGTCTTGACTTAGGAGTGTGTGTGTGTGTGTGTGTGTGTGTCTGTGTCTGTGTGTCTGTGTCTGTGTCTGTGTCTGTGTCTGTGTCTGTGTCTGTGTCTGTGTGCTTGTTTTGTCGGCGAGGGCCATCGGGGAGCATCTCGGGGGGTCACCGTGCGGCCGAAGCAGACACGGGGAACGGACGTCCGAGCGACAGGCCCGGGAAGAAGTTAGGGAACAGTCATGCCACACTCATCTGTCGGGGGAGCGTAAGATCCGGGTTTGCCAGGACTCGGGTTCGCCATTGTTTTTTGACGACCGCGACTCGGATTTTGACGAGTAGGAGTTTCGTGGGATGTCTGCAGCGGGAGGCCTCGTCAAAATGCAGGCTCGGCCTCGCCATTTTTTTGACGACCTCGTCGGGGATTTCCGAGTCCCCTGCACCCGGGTCTTACGTCCCCCTGAATTTGCCAATGCGCCCCCCAAAGATCAATGTTGGCGGTGGGCTGGATGAGTTGCACTTCGGCCGCAGTCTTCCCCGCGCGCGCCAGCTTCGAGTTCTGGGCGGCGGGGGAGTGTTCCCCACTCCGAGTTTCTAAGTGGCGTCGCAGGGGCGTCACTCCCGCCCATATCGGCCCTCGTCGCGGGCAGACACCGCGCGCCGAAGGCGCTCCGACCCCCGTCGCGTCGCGACAACGAGGCGAGGTTGACTTCCGTCGGGGGAATACTCTCCCACGCTTGTTATTATCAGGCGATCGCAAACATGGACCAAAGGGGCGTGGATTAGCGACGGGTCCCGTTTCCACAGGAATTCGCGGATTTACGCCGCCGAGCGAGGGAGTACTGGCCGCATTTCGGGGAGGGCACTTCCCTCAGAAGGCAGCCGTGCTTCACCTCCACGCCAAGCCAGGGCAACCCTCCTCGGCCCCGGCAGGGCGTGTACAGATGCGCCCTCCCGGCCGAGGCGCCAGGGGGGCGCGCGTGCACACCGTGCCGCTGCCCAGGTGGGCTATGGCCCGGCAAG